AGGCACACAGGCCACCAGAAGGATGTCAGGGGTTGGGACACCAAATATTATGTGGAGCTCAAGGAGCTTCAGGCCAGGGTGTGACCAGTCCTTCGGTCTTCCCAGGCCGTGCTGCTGTGGGCAGGGCGCTGGATCTCTCTGGCTGCAGGTCTTTTTCCTCTACCCTCAGCCTGGCCCCTGCTCTGGGGGCTTCTACTGAGGCCCTGGGATGGAAAAAGAGGGGACAGTCACTGAGCAGCAGTGCCCTCCCCTGGGAACCAGGGGCTGAACCCCTCAAGCCCCTGAGTCCCGTAGGGCAGGGATCCTGGTGGGGGCCACACCTGGCAGTCCCAGCCCCTGGACATGACCCACCCCTACCCTGGGGGCACAGCTGGCCAGGGGAGCTACCACTCCCTGCACAGTAATCCTTGGCAGCTCCTGTCTGTGCCTCAGTGATTTGGGGTGGAGCGGGTGTGGGACAGTGGGCAGGAAAGATGGCGGGTCGGTGTGGGGAGCAGTGATTGCCTGCTGGGGATATGGTCCCATACCCATGCATACACATGCCAGCCACCAGCATGAGCTCACAGGCACATGCGCACGCCACATGTGCACACTCTACTGCACTAGAAACACACATCCCTCCTGACAGACAACTCTGCACCCCTAGACTCCTCCCAAGGGCAAATGGGTCTCTTGGGGATGAGACTCCCCATGCTCGCAATCCCCAAGCACTGATGTGTGCCCAAACTAGGGGCCCGTGGGCAAAGCCCTCCACAATCCGTGGCTCAGTTTCCCCATTCTCTATCAGACAGATAGCAGAGGTCCAAGTCCTAAGAGGTGCTCAGAGTCACGGCCACTCACCTGACTCTTGTCCCTGGGCACATCACCTGTCCCCACATCTTCGCCTTTTTCCTGGAGGCATGGTGGATACAATCGGAGTGGGGCCCACACCCAGACAGGTCTCTGGGTTGGCCTAGAACTGCTGGGAGGAGGCTGATGAGCCAGCAGCAGCTGAGGTACTCTCTGGGTCTGCAGCTGGGGGAACTGGAGAAGAAGACATGCTCCGGAGAAGGCCCCCTGGGACTCCCAGCAGCAACCTGCAAGCTGCTCCCTGCACCCAGAAGGAAACTGTGGGGCCCTTCTACCTATGTGCTGACTCTGTGCCCAGTTCCTGGGGCTCACACTCACCCACATCACCAAGAGGCAGTCCCAGCCGAATGGCAAGAGCCAGCGGCATTACTGCTGCTAGCAGGGGGCCCCAGGAGGACTCTGGTTGCTCATGCCCCCACCAGGCTTTTTTGGTCCAATTTTGTCAGAACTTTCTATCGGCATGGGAACAAGGCAAATGGTCAAGATATGTGCTCGAGTCCTAGCCAATATCTCCTAGGTGCCCTGTAGAGTACAGATACTAGAAACACTTTGTGCACTTGGGCTTCTTCCATTAGACCAGTGGCAGGCAAAGTCCAGCCTGTGAGCTGGATCGGGCCTGCAGCAGACTCTATTTCCCAGCAGCCCCTACCTGTGTCACTGTCTGGTTTCCATGAAGTGGTGGGGTGATGACAGCATGGGGCAAGGTTTCCATGAAGACCAGCTCTAGCAGCACTGACAGGGCATACAGCTCAGCAGGGAGTTGCTCAGGGGCTGGGATCTTGCAGTGGTGACAGCATGGTCTGGAACTGGGGCAGAGCTGCCTGCATGCCTTGGGCAGGGGCTGCTGGGAAATGGAGTCTGTCCACCTGCTGGAACCACCATTTTGCCCACCTCTGCCTTAGGCCTTCTCTGATTGGCCAGTGGGAAAGTTTTCACCAACTTGCAAGTGGCAATTAATCCTCAACCTTGGCTAGCTGCAGAAAGTACCGTCTACTACCATTAGAGCAATGGTTCTCAAACAGTTGAGATTTGAGGTACCCGTTGTTGTAGGGGTGGGGAATTATTTTGGGTGGAGGGCTGCTTACTGAGTTTTGGCAAGCCATCGAGGGCCACATGACAGACAGACAGGGGCAGACAAATACTCATTTTCTAAATTTTTTAGGGGCCCTGTGGGCCGGATAGAAAAGCCTGGCGGGCTGCATCCAGCCCGGGGGCCGCATTTTGCCCACCCCTGCCTTGTTGGATTCGCGGCATCCTGTAGAAAATGCCAGCTTTTAGCTTTCACTCATTGGCTTTTTTGACTATGGAAAAAATACAGCGATTTTTCTGTTGCAAAGAACTTAGAAAGACCCCAACAGAGCAAAATATTTGTAATGCTATGGATTCCTTTTGAGACCCCTGATTTTATCTTGTGAATTATGTTTGTACACCTAATAGTGCTAACATTGTGTGACGACACCCTGTGGCACCCTTAAAAGGATCTCAGGGTACCGCAGGCTGCTGTCGCACTCTGCTTGAGAATCATTGCATTAGACTCAGAAGTTTTAAGGCAGCCTGATCTGACCTCCTAGGTACATCTACACCATGCTCCCAGCATCTCCCAGAATGGATGTCCCTTAGCATTTCTTCTGTACACGCTCACATGTGCCAAACCCAGAAATACAGCATGAAGCCACTCTGGGAGCGTCTCCAGGGAAAATCTAGGTTTCGTCAGTGGCCACTGCCTCCCCCTTCATTCTCCAAATGGTTCCACTATCATCCAGGTCTGGCACATGTAAGCAGGAGCAGATTGATGTGGCAGGATCAGGTGTAGTTTGGAGCATCCATCCAGGGACATGTAGACACGGCACAAAATCCTAGCAAGATTGGTCAACTCTAGTCCAAGACCGCTGACATTGGTACTCCAGCTGTCTTGCCTCTCCTTTAAGTTCCAGTTAGTATGTAATCCAAAGTGACCTGTGGGGCTGAAACTTTAAAAAACTCCACAGCACAATCAACCTTAAGTCAAAGGGAACAATGCTCATGCCATAACAAAAGCTTAATTTACATCTTTCTCACTTCCAAATCCAAACCAGAAACTATATGCAAAGAATGCCTGGCTGTAGAAGGCTTGGGATAATCAATCCTGCAGCAGCTACAATAGCTGGGAAACCCTATTCTGTCTCTGAAGACCCAGGCTTAATTTGCCTGGATTCAGCCTGTATTAAATTGTGTCAGCATAAATGGATATATGGCTGTGCTGTTTTGTGGTAAGTGACCGTGTTCGGCTAGAGATGGCTGAACTTGGAGCAACTGTGTTTTGGACATAAAGAACTACCAGGCTTTTAGGGGAGTTGGGCTGGGATGAAATTGGTTACCTGCTATAAGGTGAGATTGCAAGTGAAGGGTTGAAAAGATCCCCAATACAGAAAAGGCTTTACAATGGAGGACAAGGTTCTTTGGGTAAATGCAATATCTTTTATTAGACCAACTCAAATTGTTGGAAAAATTCTTCTTAGCAAACTTTCGGGCAATGGAGGAAAAACACCTGACTGAATGTAACTATGCTAGGTTGGGGATAATAATGAACTGGGAGAAATAAGAATAGAGGTGAATAGCAGAGAGGTGCCAGGATGAGTGGTAGTTTTTGTGGAGATCTGAACTTGGATGGAGGAAAAAGAGCCTATGTGGAGGATATATACTGAGGTAGGGGGACGATGCTTGATCATGGGATTACTGTATCTGGGTAGGAGACAAGACTATTGAAGGGGGGTCAGGGGGTTATGGAAATGGTGTAAAGCAAGGAAGGGGTTGTAGCAATGAGGGAGAGCGAAGGAGTTTCGCGCTGGAGACTGCCTGATGGCTGAGACCAGAACTCTTAGTGACACTGAGACTGAGTGGGAAGAGGGGGCTACAGCATGCAAATGACAGTAGTAAGGTGCAGAAAGGTGTTGTAACATAGATGTGGCTGCTTTTTTTGCAAGGACTGTGCTAATGGGTCACTTGCGTACATGGGCGACTGGTGCCTCCTGAGGCTGGTGTAGGAACCTGAAGAAGCCGGCATTGGCAGTGAGGACAAGGCTGGCAAGCACCCGCAGAAGGTGCTTCCCTGTGCCCCCACCCCAGTTGCCTATGGTTGGGTGAGAGTCAAGACTGCAGGAGAGGAAAGGAGTTTCACTGCCCGATGGCTGAGATGGGACCTTTCATGTGGCAGTGAGACTGAATGGGGACAAGTGGACTGCACCCCCTAACACTAATGCTGCCCAAGGACAGCGCTGAGACACTGGGGTGGGAGTGGAGACTGCGGTGTGGGGAGGATCCTGGCTGGAGGTTGGGGGAAAGGGGCTGAGGTGCACTGGGGTAACAGCTGAGGTGGGGGCAACCATGTGGGGTACTACATAGGATTTGGAAAAGGGGCTGTAAGACCACCACAGCTACCCTGGGTGGCCTGAAAGGGGGGTGTATGTGTGTGTTACCCTGGGTGGCCTGAAGGGGGTGTGTGTGTGTGTGTGTGTGAGGCAGGGAAGGCGGGTGTGTGCGCGCTGGGGGTGATCCCGGCACGCAGCCAGGCGCGCAGAGCCGCCCCCAGCAGGGCCGCGCGGGCAGACGGGGCAGTGGCCGAGGTCGGGGCTGAGGAAGGAGGGGGGTGGCGGGCGGTCCTGACGCGGGTGGGAGGACCGCGGGGCGGGGCCGGGGCCCCGGCGAGCCCGGCCGAGCCG